GCATTAAGTTTTTTTTCTGAGGCAGCAGAATGATGCCCTCTGCCTAGTTCACAGTCCTGCTTCTGATGATGCCCAATGTTTTTTGGTTGTGGCAGCACATTTATTCAGTGATTTAAGGGAGACCTATCAACACAGACTCCATATGTCTTTCCTGCATTGTAACTTAAAAATTAACTCTACCATCTATCTCTTTATTCCTTATTTACTGCTCATCCAAACTCATCTTGGTGAAAATGTTACGGAGTTCCTGGCTTAGTATATTTCAGAGCTCTGATTTTTCTGTTGTGTCAACTTGAAGGAAGATATAACATTATAATAATAATAATATGGAAATAGGAAGAATCAATTACTTTGGAATGTAAATGTGTAAAGAATTTTGAAAAATCTTAGGTATTATTCTTTGGCCAGGTTAGAGAGGTGTGTAAAGAAAAATGCCTGGTCAAGGCTAAAAAAAATAAGTACTGAGTGAGCTATAACCACAAGAACCGATGCTTCTAGGTCTTCCTCAAATATGTTAGGAAAACATTGCATTCCAACCAATTGCAGTGAGCTGAGTCATGAGGCATTTTGTTGGGTGTAACAGACTATTAAAATGATAGGACAAATACATGATAAAAGAAACTTTAATCTTGCTTGGTGAGTTTTCCTAAGTGTCTCTCCAGCAAAGTTCTGAATAATTGGCTTGCCTGTTTTGATAGGATCTTTTGAAAGCAAGTGTGTACACCTTTGTCCCTCTCTGTGGTTTGGGGGACTCTTAATGCTCTGGACCTGCTTTTTAAATGGCTTCCTCTGTGCGAGTCTCTTGTATGTGTTTTGGGCAAAGTAGACTGTGGAACAATAAAGGCAAAACTTTGAGAAGGAACAGAACCTGGTAGATAACCAGGTTCATGGAGCTCCAGCTGGTGGAGTTGAGAGGCAGAGGGCCCTAAGAAGGACATATGAAGCAAACAGTCCTAGATGTTTTCTGTTACTTGCATTGATTTGTTTATGTGTTTTCACAACAGTGTTTGTATGTCTGATGAAAACTCAGCTTGGAAGGTGTCATGCAGGAGTAGGATGCTTGGAAATACTACATATTCGATTAGAATAAAATCATCTTTTGAGTGTACACTCTCATTAGATATAGTATTGCAACTGAGGCTTATGTGTATCTATATTACTGCTGTCTTAGTCCCAAGTGGCATTTATAAAGAATCTTTTTGCCTGTCACAGAGTTTCTTTAGGAGGTCCGTATTTTCAGAGAGTGCTGTTTCAATAGTTTCCTCACTGCCTGGGAATAAGCTTTCCCAACGCACATCAACAGTGTGAACAATGCCCGCAAACCTAATATGCGTATGAGAAACCTAATATGCATGTGAGAAACAGATCAGAAATGTCTTGGAAGAAGAGTATGGGGTTGGTTTGTTTGTTTGTTTTCCTCTCTCCAGTCCTACCTAGTGGTGCACCCTGTCCTGAGTAACAGCGGTGCTTAAGAGCAAGAATGCTAAAGCTAGGCTGTTGTGTTGGAGCAACATTCTCTTATGCCGGGAGAGAGCTCCGCAGGACATGGTCCCTAATACTAAGGAGATTAACTGCGTATAAATGTTGCAATTGAAATTAACTGGCGTGCTGAGTACTGCATCTCGCAGTTAATGTGGGAAATCCTCTTGGCTTAATTGTATGCTTACACGCCGTTTCTTGGTAGGTGCTTAAGTCATTATTTAGAATGGATAAACAAAATTGGATTTTTGATTGGGGAACAGCTAACCCTTTTAAAGTTTTGATTAGCCTGCTGTGTTAGAAACTTGATGCTTTGAATACTTTCAGATAAAAGGCATAGGCAGTTTTCCTTAAGCCTTTGTCTAAATCAGGATTTGAAGAATAGCTGTCTGTGTCTTTTGATAGCAGTGATTACATTTACAGTATCGGACAGAATTATGTTATGCACTTTACTCTGAGCCAGGCGTGATTAGAGAGAGAAAAGTCTTAGCTTTCCATGTGCTGTGGGCTCTAACATGTGTTGGAGATTTGGATCTGAAAGCGTTGGTATCTCAGACTCTTTTTGGTAAATGAGCAGAAAGACCCCAAACAAAGCTTCCAGTGATGCTTTTGTGTGCTGTGTAGGATCTGTTTTTCTGTGCTATTTTATGTGTAACCTGTTGACGTATAGTCACTCTGGAGAATGCTTTTGTTGTTTGTCTGTATGTGGTGTCTGAACGTCAGTGAGGTCTGTAAAACTAGAAAAAAAACATTATCAGCTTCCCTTTTTCCCTTTGTTTTTAAATTCATCTGGCTATAGAGGAATAGTGTATTTATTTAACAGGGTATGTTCCACTTGCTAGCTTGGTTGTGGATTCAACCTGTGCACAAGAGAAATGTGTTCTTGCATCATTAGAGATTTATTTTTAGCTTGCATGCTTGACTGTAGAGATTATTTCAGGTTAAATTCAACTTTTTATGGGTTAGGGCTTCAACTTTGTGACAAAATTATTGTAGTTGAATAAGCTCTGGAACGTGCTTTCAGCCTTAAGCAGCTGTAAGCTAATGTAACTTTGGCTGCGGTGGACAGCTTACTGCCACCAAAAAGGGGAAGGTATAATTCTTCCTCATGCTTCTGTTGTGTCCTTCTCCCCCCACCCCCCATCCCTTCCTTGCTCCCAGCTGTGGGGTTTCACCATGTTTCTTGTGTTAACTCTGGGGTTGAACCCTTGCAGAGCTTGTTTCCTATACTAACCCCCCAGAAAGCTCCCCTCTGTTCTTGTTGGTGCTGCTTTCTGCCAGGTTACTTGGTGAGATCGACTGGTGGACACGTCTGCCAAGTGCTGGGGCTGCTCCAAGGTAGAAAAGGGAGCAGGCAGGCAGGAGGATGGTGGAAGGAGGCCCCCCCCGCCCCTTCAGTAGCACTCATCTGTTTAGTAAACTCCTCCTGGAGACCACAGCCTTTAGTGTTGCCTCCTTACACAAAACTGAGTACCTTATGTTTGCAGTGGACTAAGAGTGTTTGTACAAATGCTTACTGTGGCCCAGATGAAGTGAGTTAACTTGTTAAACCACTAACTCATTTGTAACTCAGATCTGGTAGTTCACGCTAGTTACTGCAAAAAATGTGTAAGAAACTGAGCTGCTTTCAAACTCATTCAAGTTATGCTGCTGAAGAATAAACTGGTGTGGGTGCTCTTATTTATGTTAAAGAATGGTTTATGTATCTTAGCTCCAGCCTTTTCCGAAGAGTGTCATCTGACTTTTTCACTTTTGGATATGATTTGGACGGTTTTAAGTGCTGCCGGACTCCCTACCTGTTTTTAATATTGTTGCATGCTGGAATCTGCTGCGTCACAACTGATGGAAGTGCGTGTGTGTGCACATGCATGCATGTACATGTACTCTGGCCTAATGCAACAGAGATCCAGTGGTTTACCTCCAACTGTTGATGGAGGTAGATTTAACCAAAGCTGTCTGACTATGCTGAAGCAATTACTTTCATTCAGCTGCACAAATCCAGGAGGTGGTAACAGTTTAAGCCACCACAGCTGTTTGCCAAGTGAGTTTGTTTTGATGCTGATTAAAAATAACTGCACAGATGCACTATTACCACTTTATGCAGATGCCTTAGACATGGTGTTCTGGCAGGCAGGCAACGGCACACTAGGAGGGAACTGCTGAGGGCCGATACGTTTGCTGCGTATGTAAGCGAAGCCTCTGTAAAAAAACGTCTCTTGTACCTCCTGTGTTGTCTGACAGCTTAATTATTTCAGCTGAAGGGAAGAAGTGTTTGTGGGTGGAGAGTGATCTTGTGGATAGCTAGAACCAAGTCTACAGAGGACTTGGGTACCAGGAAAGAGACAATGTAATGGAGTTTATTTTGGGACTGCTTGACCTGATTTCAAGCAGGACTCATCCTGTTTTTAGCATCTTGGATTTGAGATGTATCTGATTGGTAGCAGGAAAGATGAAAGGAAATTCGGAAGAATTGCCCAAAAAGAAATACAAATTGATTTGTGTGGCTAAATGTCAGTCTGCAGAAAGCCTGCAGTGCGATCTTTAGAACAGCTTTACCAGAAAAGAAGATTTTTCATTCAAAACACTTGATTAACTCATGTCTCTCAAACTATTGTGGATTCTTCAGATTCCTTTGAGGTATTAGGATATGGGCCCATGAAGAAGCTGCTGAGCTTCTAAGCAACAGAGGTTGTGAGTGTGCATTGCACTGAGGATGCGTGGTCCTGTGGGGAACAGGAGGCAACTCGCCCTAAGAGGAACAGGTTCCCCTGCACTAACCACAGGGTAAGACCCTGCACATGGGCGCTGACCACAAGGTTGTGAGTGCACTGTAAGTGCACGCTATGGCTTACCCCACAGTAGCTTCTTCATCTGCCCGTAGTCTAATTGAACATCTAATGTGAGCTTAACCGAAAGAAAATGTTTAATGCCTCCTCTTTCTGCCAGCAGGGAAAGGAGAGTAACTTGGGGCATGTTTGAACTTTACATACCTCTTACCAGCAGTGCTTCTTTACTTTGCAGAGTTGTGGTGGCAGAGCTCAGTGGCTGGTTCCAGTGGTTTAAGTCAGCATGTTCTTGTTATAGAAAATGGAGAGCCAGTGGGATAAAATTTAAATGCTGCAGATGTCTAATGACAGGTTTCAGCAAACTTACGAACTCAACTATGTAGCACAAAATCAGAGCCAGACATCATGGCCAGTTACTTGTGTCTGTTACATAGGATATTTCAAAGAAATATTCAGAAGTTGCCAATGGAAGCTAAACTTTGAAAAATATGAAGTCATTCTTGAAAGGGTTCGGATCTGTTAAACTCATATGAACAGCCACCTATTGCTTGAGGCCAGTGTTAGCATGCCTCGGTGGGGAGAATGTTGTATACATGTTAGCCTGCATGTGAAAAGGCAAAAGCTTTTGCACAGAGGCAAGAGAAAACGCTGCTGCTGGTTTAGTGTACGTTCTGTTCAATGCACGTATTGTGTCTTTGAGTCTTAAAGAAAACCTTTTGGATTTTTCTCTTTCAGAATCGTAATGAGATAAAAAATGGAGCGATCCTTCGATTAACAACATCTCCAGTGAGTTACCTTTTTGTTCATCTCTTCCTTCACAAAGTAAAAAGTAAAGATCTGATCAATTCACAGAATTGCAGTGAACTGATGTGGGGCAGGGCTTTTGGGGTTTTTTGTTGTTGTTGTGGATTTTGTTTTTAACTCTAGCCACATTGTATCCCACAGTCATGCTGCAAAAAAGTAGGGTGATCGTGCAGTCACAAGATGACTATGTGTTGATCTCTTTTTTTGAATTACAGCAGCAGGGGTGGTTTCTCTGAAATTTTGTGGTAGGGCTGGCACAACTTTTTTTTAATCTCTTACTTCTCTCCCACTGTAGACAGCTTTCATGTCCAAGGTACCTCTGCTTCCCTGCTGGCATTGCAACCTCATTCACATGCTCCTTTCCTGTCTATGAGCTCAGAGCTGGGAGAAGGGGCTTGTAGTTGAAGAAAGGAGAGCTCTGCTGGGCAGCTCAGGTCAGAGCTTTCCTCCTGTCTAGGTTTCTGCTGAGTGAGCAGCAACTGTGATGTTGGGCTTTTGCTGTTTTTATTTTTTTCGTGTTTTTTTTCAATGCCATCTTCCTGCCAGCTCCTCAAAAAGCATGGCAGAGTTGCTGGTTGCCTTGTAATGACCTGTTCCCCTGCTGAGTTGAGCAGTACTGTTGCCACATGCTGAAAACCTTAATTATCCCCAGAAGACATACGTCTCTGGTAGCAGTGATCACACTCAGAATGCAGTGTGTTATTAAAATGATTTACCTCTGTTTGGTGGTATTCTATCTAGCCTCTGCAAATTCAAAGCATTCTTATGGGCAAATTCTGTCTTCGTTGTTCTGCCACTCATTTGAACAGGCAAGACAGAGCTGGGGTGGTTTGGCTTCTCTTGAATCTGTTATAAATGTGGAGTCAGTTATGTGGAAATGTGCCATGTTATGTGGAAATGTGTCTACCTAGAAGTTGCACACAGACCTCAGATCCATTTTAGGTGGATTCAGCTAGTAGGTCCTAGTCTCAAAGTAAAGAAACAAGAAGTGTGTATTGCTACTAATTTCCCAAGTTCTCCAGGTATGGAGTGCATTTCCGCTCCTCCCCAGCCTGTTTAACTTGATGAAGACATAGTCCAGACTTAGGAGGTAGCTGAATTTATAAGCAGGCTTGTGTGTAAGTAGAAGTTGAAGAAGTCAGTATGAAAACATATACATATATGGTTTTTGATTGTGTCTGAAAAACTATTTTACAAGAGGACAGCTTCTTAATGGAAAGCACAGCTAAGTATCACCAACTGGGGACAGATGAGATGCTTCCCATTATGATTTATCTTCTTTTTTTCAGTGGTCACGTGCAGAGCTTTACAGCTATAAGAGTAAACAGCAGTTTAAGGCCATGGCTCTATCAGAATCTGCGCGAGTCCAGAGCCTCTTGCTGTATGTCACCAGAACAGCCTAGAACATTGGAAATCACTTCCCTGTGAATTAAAACCCCATTTGGTGGACCTTCCTTAGAAACGGACAATCCCAGCACCAGCTCCTTCTAACCCTTGGAATTGCTTAGGAACAAACATCCACTTCACTGAGAAAGGGCTAGCTACTGCTCCAACTTGAGATCTCATGAAATCAAAACAACATCTGTGGTTCGTCAAGAAACAGCATGGTCTAAGCTCGCTGTGCATCATTCTTTTGTGTAACCACAGCACTGATTCATGGAATCCTTCCCCCTCTCAAAACCTGCAACTAGTTGCACCATGCAAAACTGAAGTGAGGTTATGCCATGGCTGATCTGTGGAAATGGCTGTCTATCTGTCTTCACGATCGCTTGTAGAATTGGAAGTGTGACTGGCAAACAAAAGACAAACGTAGGATTTATAACACTTTCTACTAATAGCTGTGGGTAGGAAGGTGAGATTTTTGCATAAATCTTCTGCTTTTTCTTTTCCTTTACGTTATGTTCAGTCAGCCAAGACAGAGGTTTTCAGGATAGGAGAGTGTTACCTGCTATCTACCATGGTTATAAGCCACTCTGGCCTACAGTTATGGATATGTTCCTAAAGGCCATATTTTTCCATCCTGTCATGAGCCAGAAGGCTGGTCTATTTTCTAATCTTCAGTATTGACATTTCTCCTCAAAACTAGTACCTATACTCAAACTTAAAAAAAAAACCAACCAAACAAACAAAACTTTTTTCTAAAATCAGGGGAGTAGTTTGGGTGGAGGTTTGAAAGGTATTTTTTTTTGTGCCAGATTAAAGTATTTATATTCTTTAAATTGTAGAGATAAATGAAGTTCTGGATGTTACCACCCTAGAATAGTGTCTTTGTTTTTAAGGTACTATTGAAGTGGTCATCGTAGAGATATCTGAAAAAGACAATTAAAGGCTTCTAAGCTGTGGTTTTTATACTGGTGACCCACACAACGCTTGTCATTTACCCTGGAAAGCTAACAGACCATCTGTTTCCGTTTTTCGTCTGAAGTTCTGTCTGAGAGCAACAGTAGTTGGAGGAGATAATGTGAAGAACAGACTGCATGATATATTCCTGCAAAATGGGGAAGATGCTTTCCTAGCTGCTTGAGCTAGGTGGGAAATGTTTTTCTCATCCTGTAAAAATGTTAAGATTCTGAAATCTCCCCCCCACCCCCCGTTTTCCTATCCTGTCAGGACAGGGTTTCCTATCCTATCAGGATAAAACTGAAACTCTCTCCCTCTTCCCCTAGAAAATGAAAATCACACTAAAACACTTTTTGGAGAGGCAGGGAAATTAGAAAAAGGGGAGTAGAAGAATGAAAGGAAGAGGAGCCATGTGAGTTTATTTGGAGCTTTAGCACGCTTCCACAAGGTGTGACCGTGTAATTCCAGAGTTGCCCTAGTCTGCTATTTCCTTCCTATTGTGGGCAAAAAATCTTTCCTGAACTCAAGAAGCCTTTTGAGGAAACATATTTTGCTTGAAGAGTTGTGAGGGATAATTTTGACCAATTCTGAAGGCTGCATATACCTGAAATGCTTTTCTGTTCTTAATTAACTGAATGTTAACACTGAAGATTGATTGAGAAGGATGAGATACAATCTTTTTGAGTTCTGTTGTCATTAACCTCAAAATTGATATTGCTCATGTACCCATAGCAGATACTATTAAAGATTAAAAGAACAAATAGTTTGCTGTAGAAGAAGACAGGCAGCATTTTTGGATTTGCTTCTTTAAATTAGGATTAGAAATCTAACTCCTCAAATCTAAATGCTTTCCTTTTTTTATCTCAAATTTAGATTTTTGTATGTGTGTATGGAGCCCTTTTTTCTCTCAATCATTGTGACATTGCATTAGCAAAACTGCAGTTATGGTGCACTGCTGAATCCATTATAAATGCTTGCCTTTGGAGATTTATAACATGTCTATTTTAAACTTCTTTGAGTTGGAACTTTGCAAACGCCGGTAGTCAGGCCTGGTGGGAATCTGAACTGCCTCTTTGTTTCCGCAGGTCTGTTTGCAAAGTTTATGTGATTCTCTGGAAGGCTGTTTTTTTCTAAACAATGCTATTTTTTTCCCTCTATAAACCACTCTCCACACAGACACTCCGTTTCCTAGGTAACTTGGGTACAGATTGAATTTCTCTCATATTATCTTTTTTCCCCATATCATCTTTCTTCCTTATTTTTATTCTCCTCTCCTCCTGCTTCACAATTCTTTGCGCTATCATGTTTTTGCTGTTTTCCATGACCTATTTTCCCCCTTTGTCCATTTGCATTTCTGGAGGGACTCATCAATGATGTTTCTTGTGCAACGGGTTTTTTTAATCATTTATTTATTTATTTTTAAATTTGAACATATGTGAGAGTGAAATGCCAGATTGTTGTTGTCTGTTTTGTGATACTCATATTCCAGTGGCTGGTGGGTAGGTGTATAAATGAGCTGTAATTGCTCCTGAGTGTGAGACTATTCCAAAAGGACATTTTGATCCTGCAGTGCAGCCAGCAGAACTGAACCTTTTATTGTGTGCGACTTGTAGATTTCTTTTGATCAGATCTTGCAAATCTTCCTTCTAATGACTAATCATTTTGAAAAGTTACTAAAATACTGGGAAAATTCAGCTGATGAGACGGTTCTATTTCTTTTCTTAATGGTTTTCAAACAGAATCGATTATCTGAGCGCTAGCTGTTGATTCAAAAGTAGCTTTTTGGATAGTTAGGAAAGCATTGCTCATAAACTATACACTTGAAGCATTCAGTCAATGGCTAACCTCTTCTAATGTGGCATTTATGGTGCCTGATCGTTTACTTTTGTCACATGAACTAATTTTTTGTCTCTGTGGTTGGAGACTGGTTAAGCTCTCAACCTGTAAGTTGTTTATAGGCAGCTCTATTAACGTTTCTAGTGTGACCACTCACACAAATAGGGGTGTTCACTGAGAGTCATTACAGTATTTTGCCTGAATACTTTTATGTACTTGAGTAACTTGCGTTTTCCTCATATATGTCCCTATAGATCACACATAAGAGGAACTGTAGATTTTTTTTTTTTAACCCATCTCTACTTATGCATCTATATCCTCTGTCTTTAATACGTAAGAATTTGGGGATCTGGTCTGGAATCTTTGATCTATGGTTACTTAAATCTGTGGTCAACTGACTTAATCTTCATAAAGCTCAATAAATGCATAAATATTTGCAGATTAAGCCTATGGTTGTAATTACGTGTATCTCATAATTGTGAATTAGTTGTTATTAAAACCTATACTAGGAGCACTGGTCGCTGAAGTCCATAAGTGAATTTGATATGTGTTTGCACATGATACAGGAGGAAGATTAGGGAAGGGAGGTTGTTTTTGTCTTTTTATAGGTTACAGGTTTAAGCTCATATTTACATATTTGCAAAGTCTTATTACAAAGAGTAAGAAAAAATGATTATTTCAAATGAAATGGGAGGAAAAATAATCAGTGCTCCTTTCGAAAATATTCATACGTGGCTACTGACTGCCTAAACTCTTAGGTGTATATGTATAATACATATGTGCAAGCATCTGTAATGCTCTTATCATTGATTTTTGTATGTGTCTCCAGATGTGACCCTTTCCCTGTTCCTCTGTTTCTACCCCTTTAGCTGTATATAGTGATTCCGTAGGACTGCCTCATGTATTGTTTGTGCAGGGATTTAAATATAGAAATTGTGCTTGCTGAGTATTACTATACTAATCTTAATGCCTTTGCTTATTAAAATTGAATCTCATACCTTAGCTGGCATCAGATGCCAGTCAGTCTTACTGGGTTTGTTAAACCTGGTTCACATGTAATGATGATTATGTAACATATCCACTCTTTCATTGTTTTCTGAAGTACATTGAGTTGAAGGTGAGGTGGCAGTAACAAATGAGGAGAAGGTAACAGTTTAAACCACCACAGTAGTTCATAAAGTGAGTTTGCTTCAACACTTATTTAGATGAAACCACACAAGTGAACTTACTTGGTGCAAAATTGTGTTTGGTAGTCACTAATGGTCTGTATACCTCTTATTTTTTTGTAGCAGAAAGATGAATGATGTGACTAACTTATCCACACAGCAGACCAAAATACTCTTATTTACTTTTTGTAAAGAATAAGGGATCAAACTGTGATCGTATAATGGTGAAACAGCTACAGACAACTTAAATCAATACAGTCCAAATATCTCCTGTAGCACATTAATATTTGATAGCGTTTGGAATCTGTGTCCTCTCTTCTGCCTCAGCTCTCTGTATTTTGTATTCTGCACCAAAACCCTGTGTGCATCTCTGTAATAAATAGTTCTCGAAGTTTGATGCACAAAGTATTCAGTGCCAAAGAACTGATGAGTAGTTGATCAGCAGAATCCCTTGTGGGATGATCTTGAGATTCTTAACCTCCAAAAGGCTATTCAAGTCTCTAAGCAAGTCACATCTTGGATTTGGATCATTAGTTTTCTTTTAAAGCTGACAGTCTCATCGAGCTGCTCCTCCTTTTAAGCACTGCTACTCTGTAAGGGTAGCCTTCTCTGGCTGTCCTTGCAGCAAGTCATTTAAGACTAGGCACGCAGCTTATGCCCCTTGACAGCCTTTTGAAATGCTCAGGCTTTGACAGCGCACGTTTTACAAGCTTCCCTGTCTTCCTTCTTTTCTAAACGGGAGAGCAGTTAACATTGTCTTTCATTTACTTGAACAGCCACGTTTCTGTTAATTCCCTCATAATGGTTCTCCGTTGGCAGATTTAATATGTTTATGTATTGTTCTTACCTGAATGATATTTTAATAAGAGCAGAGACATGGCAGCTAGCTCCACTGTTACTTTAATGAGCTGTGCTCTCTACTGTCCATCCACTGATGGATTGCAAATCATTAAAATAGTTCCCTGGTAAGCACTCAGAGCATGCTTCATGTGGGTTTCATTTTTTAATGCAGTCATAAGTGAGCTGTACGTTCCATAAGCACGTATGAGTGCTATGGCAACAAGAACTAGGAGGTTTGTGAGGACTGCATGGTATCCACTGAAGCGGTATTTTCACCCATAAGGCATTCGTGGTGACAAAAGCCACGTTACTTCTGGCCGTATTTCTGATGAGACATGTACCAGTGTTTTTACTGAGACAAGGATTTGTTTACCCCTTTAATCAAGATCTGTTCTGCCAGTTTCAGTTCTTTTTTCTTCCAAAAAGCAGTAGGAACATGGTTTACTGGATGCAGTGGCTTGCAAAACTAATTTCATGTATGTAAAGCACTGCTCTGTAGAGCTTCTGACCCAGTTAAGCCTTCTGATTTCTTCTTTCTTGCAGTCTTCTGACATTTTGCTAATGGGACATTAGCATTGGCATAGCCAAACAATGCCTAGGATGCTACTAAGTTTTATTTTACGTGCTAAAAATAGGGTCGAAACACTTTTATAACACAGGGACATTACATTATAATATCTGTGCTCTGCGGAGGGGAGCAAGTGGTCACAGATTTACGTTTACCGTTTGGTTTTTGCATTGTTGTTTGCAAAGCTCTGACTTCACAGGAACCAGGATTTCATATTTGACTTTTGCAAGGTTTAACATGTATGTGTTAAAAGGTTGGTCCTGCTCGTGCTGCTGTTTTGTGCTGTAGGTGAGCTGTTCATGGATGGCCTTGTGCTGGTGCTCTCAGTTTTGCTGAGAGATAGGATTAGTTTTTTCTTTTTGTGTGTGCTGGAAGTCTATCTGGGATGGCAGAAGCAGTTCCTCAGCCCCAGGTGTCTATGCTGGGGGCAGCCGTCCTTCCCAGAGAGAAGGATGAACTTGGCCATTAATACCGTCCTGTTAATTTATGCGTAAATGAAGTGTTTACACAGCAGTAACAGATGTAATCTGAACTGGTTCTTAGGAGGATGTTCCCCTGGCTCAGCTCGCAAGTTCTCCCTTGCTCCTTGGCTATTGTGCTATATAATGAGATTATCCTGCCCACCTATCTGGCCACAGCTCTGCTACCCCTTCAGATTTGCCGACTGAGCAGCTTAGATGGGTACTGCTCAGTCAGTGAACCAGGTATTTTGTTCATCTCTGCTCTCATTTTCACCAAGTCCAGGAGCCTACGGAGAGCTGAAAGGATTGTAATGTTCAGTAGGCAGACAGTGAGGGGTAGGCTGGGAGTAGTAATCTTCCAGAACCATGGCAAGTGGAGGAAGACACATCAGTAGATCTTAATGAGCTTAAACTAGGTTTGTGCAGCTGTTTCTGAAGTCAGAGGAACGTAGCTGACTTGGTAGTATTGATGTCTTTCCAGAATGTTTCTTTTCTGAGGTGGGCAGGAAGTCAGACATTGCATGTTTTCTGAAAAACAGTAATGTTTTGAGGATGCCTTGCATCAACGGATCTTTCCGAGTTATAATAGCATGGAGTCTGAGAAGAAACAGCTCAGTAAAAGAGGTTGGTGAGCTGCGAGTTGGCGGTTGAACTCCTGATTCTTGTAGTAATAGTGGCTGCTCTGAATTTTTATAACTGAATAGACCATGTGACTACTTTACTAAAACTTTTCTTTCTTGGGAGCAGGTGAAGGAAGGAAAGGGTTGGAAGAAGTATTTGGTGGTTATCCTGGAAGTTAGAAGATAAAAACTCATGGAAGAAATAAAAATAGATCCCATTAACAAATGATTTAGCTTATCAGCCTACTTATGTTTGAGAGAATTTTCTTTTATTACCATTCAGACAGACATTCCCATTAAAGAGAGAATGTATTAAAGCATTGTTTCCCCATTATAGCTCAAGCCAGTTGATGGAATAGGTAATTTATGGTGGCAGAAAGAGCTTTTGGATGACAGGATTGTGCCTTTCTATAGATAATATAAGTGCTATGGCTACACCACGCAGCAGTTTAAGCGTAGTAAGCCCAGAGGCTAAACAATATTCTTTCTTTTTGATGCTATGTCTTAACTGAAGATGTTAACCGTAGCCATATTAGCTAAAAGATATTTCTTCCCCTTACACACTCCTCCTCACCACATAGGTTCTGGCCAAACCAAGTGTCAACCTGCATTTATTTTTGTCTGCAAAAATGGGAAGTAATAACCTTGCTGATCTCAGAAGATATTGGGACTTATAGTTTATTAATATTTGTGAGGTAATCAAAATTATTTAAAGTACGTAGTGTTGTTATTATTTCCTGTCTTCCATTTAAATGCTCATTTCCACTAAAAACGCCTGCTGTCTGAGGATCTTGTTGCGCAGAGACGACATCTCTGCAAAGAGTATATTCATTATTGAACAGAAAAGGAATTGTCTGTCAGTAAAGCTTTTTCTTCTGTCTGTCGTCTTCTCTAGCTGAGAAGGAAAAAGCATGATCTCAGAGCAAGCAACTCTGAGCAGCCTTTACTATTAATTTGGTTTCCTGATGGCACATAGCTTCTCATTCAGCTTTCATTCAGTGCAGGCACGAAGTAAATTGTAGGAAATTGAATTTTGCAAGTATCTGCATATAGCAAGGAAGATTCTTTTGCCAACAAAAGTATTGGCCAGTAATTAACTGAAGCTTTGGATATTGTGTTGTGATAAGTAAAAGCATCAAATCGAAAATGTGAGATATATTTGAAAGTGTTTGTGCAGCTAAACAGAAGACCAATTTAATAATTTGTTTAAACATCTCTTTAACTTTTTAGCCTCCGTGTTCATTTCAGATTTCACTGTTTCATCCTATATTTTTTAGCATTAATGGGCCAAATAGCCTAATATATACGATTATTGAACTAACATTATATATGTGTATGTGTTGATATCATAGTTTATGGAAAATAATTGTTCCTGTACTTATTTTGGAGAGTATATGAATTTTTGAATTGAACTGTGAACGAAAATGGAAAGAAAGAGCTGGAGGAAGAGGAGGATGGAGCAGAATGCCTGATGTTGGGCTCTGTTGATATAACTTATTTAGGACAATATAGGGTTTTACTTTTTAAAGGTCATGAAAACTGCATGAGCAGTGTAAGCATCGCCAGAAAAAAAATGCTGGCATAATTATAGTGTAATTGTGTCTGATGCAATCTGTTTTATTTTCATTTCTGTTTTTATTGATATGACACATAAGCTCTTCAAGCCAAAGGCTGTCTGTCTTAATGTTTGCATTTTGCCTGACACAATGGGTTATCAATTCATTGCTCAGCTTATGATTGTTACAATCCAAATAGTTATATATAATAACGATGGCATAATAAATGAGTAATATTCTTCTGTGAAAGTAATCTGTATGTGAGCTACTTAAGCATTTCAGAGAAATTCTTTAAGCTTCTCTGCTGTTAACTTGATACTAGAAACTATTTGGAAATGTGTTATTAAACATGGCTATTGCTCCTGCTTGAGCTAACGTTTTATTCATTACTGCCTTTGTAACAAAAGCTCTTCTGCTGTTTTTGTTTTATCTGTTCTGTTTTTCTTTAAGGCTCAAAACGCGCAGCAGCTCCACGAGAGGATCCAGTCTTCTAGCATGGATGCAAAGTTAGAAGCACTGAAAGACTTAGCCAACTACTCACGGGATGTTACGTTTGCCCAAGAATTTATAAACCTAGATGGTATTTCTCTCCTGACGCAAATGGTTGAAAGTGGCACAGAGTAAGTATTCTGCTTAAACTGTGACGTTTGTGTCTCGTTCTGTGTGCTCATGCTCTCTCTCTGTCTGTCAGCCTGAAGTCTATCTATACGTTACTTCTAAGATTATGTAAAAGGAAATACTTGAAGTTGTGGGTTGCTAGGGCAGTATCTCCATGATCATAGACAATATATATTTTTAATTTTCCATGACCATGGGCTGGTGGGAGTGGGTGTGTGTTTGTGAGAACAAAGAAGGAAGTTACGAGTACCCTCTGTGCTGTGAAGTTTTGGGGGAGGCTATGATCCTAGTTTCTTCTCTTCCCATCAGAATTTATATAAATTATTATTTCAAGGCTGATGTCTTAAGTGGCGACATCTGATTAACTGCACTGTCACTGTTACTCAGTATGGTGTATGTAACAGTACCTGCAGCAGCAAAAACCCAGTGCTTACTTTGTAACTTTCACTTTTGCTTTCGTTGTAACGGGATTTTCAAATAACAATGGCTTTTGGAAATTATGTGAGAGCTGACCTCTGGAAACACCTTAATTCTTTGCCCAAAAATCTTAGCATTTTCAGCATTCTGAATAAGTTTCTCCGTGGACTTAATGTGGAAGTTGCTGCAAAAAATGTATCATCGCCTGGGTTGTTGCACTATTAACTTATGTTGTAATATTACTATTTCAAGTAGGCTTTTGATTTCAAGTAAGAGTTACTCTTAGTAACTTTGCAGTCAGTCTCAATCTCTATCCTCTCTCTCAATTGCTGACCTGAAGAAGTCAACAGTTTCTTACCCTCTGTTGACAAATACTGTGAAAGGAGCTTTCTCATTCTTTGGGGAATGCTCAGACTTGTGGACTAGTTTTCAAAAGTCAGTTGCTGAAGTCACTGCAAGTGTGCTTGCGTTCCCTCCAAGAAAGATCCAAGAAAGTAAATAGGGGATAAAGCAAAAGTGACAGGCTTTTAAATGGAGCAAAACTTATTTGTAGTGGTCCTACACAAGATATAATGTGGGTTTTCCTCAAAAATTAAGTAGTCTTTTAGAACGAAACAGTTCCTTAGAGTGGAAAATGCTGAGAGCACACTTCACGTTGATCGTTGCCTGTTATGTGGTTAATGGTTTGCTGGGCTTTGAATCCCCATTGCCTAATACCAGCTATACGTTGGAACTCCAATAGCTCATGGTGTCATCGTCAGTGTTTTGGTGTTGGGGCCTTTTTTTTTTTTTTTTTTTTGCCCTTGTGTGGTCTGTGACACCAATTACATGCCACTTTTTAATTTAAAAAGTACTAGTAATTAGGTTGGTTGTCTTGGCTTATATTGATAGAGTTTGTGTTGTTTAAGGGACCAAATTAAACTAGAACTGAAGATAGGTTTAAGCCAATTTAAAAGTACGCACGCAGTGACATCTGCAGCGGAACTAATTTGAAAACATACTGAGTGGGCATGCTCACATGTGCCTGTAAAGATCTGGACATGAGCAGTTTGAGAGTCACTGCTCCTTAGCTGTTTTGTCCTTTTCGGCAGTCTGAGATGTGATGGTGTAAATGGTGAGTTTACGGTTAAGTTAGAAATGGCTTTATTTTCCCGCTGCTGAAGGTATACTAAAGCACTTTATTTTGTATTGAAACAGGCAAGGAATAGTCATGTGACTTACAAACGTTTCTTTTAGCTTGCAGCATGGCTAAAGCAAGTGTCCTCCTTGCCCTTCAAATGTGTCTGCACTGCTGTTTTGTAGCTGAGAGATGAGCCAAACTGTAGCAGACTGACCTGGGTTAAAAACTATTTATTTGTGAGGAGAGCTACTTAAGCCAGCACCACTGTTGAAAGAAATGCTCAGCAAATTATACCCTGGTGGTAATTCCTGGTTGAGGGTAGTAAGTTCTCAACACAGCAGGCTTGTAGACTGGGCATGTAAGCAGTCTATTGCTGTGTGGGTTGGGTTTTTTTTTTTTTTTTTTTAAGTGGTTTCCCTTTGGAGGGGTTTGAGATTTCTCTTTTTAGCTGGTGTAATATATTACCAAAGATAGATTAGATCTGCAGATCTAATCTATTTATCAATGTTTCTGCCTGTGGGGAGAAAATCTGTCTAATTTAGGCAAAACAGCAAAGATTCAAACTGAGAGTTTCCAGCAGCTTCACATGCCAATGAACACTCGGCGCACGCTGCAGTTTTTTCATGTTTTAGCAACACAGCGCTCCTGAATTATGAGTATCTGTTGTGATTTCTCCCCGCTTCCCCCCAGGTTTAGCTTTATGAGGGCAGTTGTAAAACAAGGCCATCTGTACTACACTGTACAGATTCACTTCTGCTTTTATGCTGTGCATCAGTGAAAAGCTGATAAGCACATACATAACAGAATTTGAGATATAATGAAAGGAGCGCATCCTAACGCACCCAGACTCAGCAACCTAACCGTGCCGTGGTGCTGCTGCTTTTCTTTCTGGTCTTACTTCTAGCTGTGGTTCGTGTCTTCCCCTCTTAGGGTCTGCCACTCCTTGGACTTCGGCTGTTTCAGCACACTAAACCAACAGACAAGCTACCTTCACAGAAGAAGCAGTAATAGTGTTTTGAGTTTTATTGATTGGGTTATTGCACCAAAACGGCTTTCCCAAATGGCCAGGGAGCAGGCAAGGAGCCCATGGGGGATGAAGAAGAGAAATATATAGAGAAGAGAATGGGACAAGGACGATCAGGAGTTTGAGTGCCTTAGGCTGTCAAGAAAGAGTAGTCAGAGTCAGTCAAACGTCTTTTTAACATCTCCATTCCTATTTTTGCTTGGACCCTCTGCAATACCGTTAAAAAGAGGTTCCACAGGATGCTGGCTGAACAGGCAAAGCCAGCCAAAGGCATCCTTGCTGTTGTTCCCACCCTTGGCCTGCCCCCTTAGCCAGCTGGCTTGCTGGGCTGCATGTTGACTGGATCACTGAAATGCTTCAAACCAAAAAGAGCTCTTTTCCCTCCTCTTCTCCAGAGTCCCTGCCGCTTTCTTTTCCCCAAGGATATTTTTGAACTCTGATCAGGTCAGTGTCCGTAGGTTGACCCACCCACCCAGATAGTTGTAGTAGCATAACAAGAGGGGGCAGTGCTAGAGTAGGAATGAGCAGCCAGAAGTTTCAAGGAAGGGCAGAAACTTTGGCTCAGTTGTAGAAGACAATATATTTTGTGAGTATACCTTCAAGGTGTGTCTTCACTCTGGAGTTACCTTTATTTGCTCTTGAGCTACTGTCCCTGAGTCATCCTTGATTGAATGTGAGGGTATGGTTCAGCCACACAGCTGAGAAAGCCCTAAGGCCTGATGCTGCTGAGAGATGTTGACTCCTGCCTTCTTCTCCCATCCTTTGTGTGTTAACCCTTGCTTTCCAGCCCAGTCCAGCTCCCTCCCTTAAATTGGTTCTGGTGTTGGGAGGCTTTGCAGAGCCAATCCAGTTTGTTAACTTGACTGAAAAATGCCAACTTCTATTTTGCAGAGTTAGTTTTCTGTTAATTTTGAGACTTGCAGGAACAAGTAGCTGTGGGGAAGGAGCTTTTTTGTGGCAACAGACCATTACTCTGGCTTGAATGCATCATTGAGCCACAACCTGAGAGCAGTCACGTTGTGAGAATGAGCATGGCTGCTCATCTCACATGAGAGACATCATCACTCATGAGAGAGGCTGTGTCCCCACTAGCGTGCAGCCTGGACACTTAGGGGTCAGAGGGGCTGGGAGACCCTCCACGAAGCTGCTGCTGCTCTGCAGGGAACCCCTCCAAGTCCTTCCCCTGCTGCCTGTGGGTGACCACGAGGATGTCTGCGCGCTGGAGAGCCTAGGCTGAGCGGGGCCTTTCTCCACAGCCCGGTGCAGCTGTGCTAGAAACTGATGAATTTTGTTAATTCAGGCTTTATTCTGCATTTTCCCCACAGGACTGGGCAGTGCTCATTAAAAGTACCATCATGCTCAATGTAAGGTTGCTTTGAGGTTTTTTTGCATATGGAACTCATGTTAGGGGCAGCTCTTAAGTTATAATTTGAGTGTGTAATAAAGTTTTAGTGGGCAGGCTCTGGAAAGCAAGACTCCAGCTTTTATATTCCTTTCACCAAGGAAGCTGTATTTATAGCTGGCTTTGTTTGTTGCTTTACTTATTCGTTATTTCAGTCAAGCTAGTGATTGTAAAGGTGCAGTGACCAGAGCAAAAGAATGTGAAGTCCTGAGTTTCTGGTTTCCTCTGCGTCATTTTGCTGGTAATTAAAAGAAGTAGTAATATAAAAAGCTGACAGGAGCTAGCAATGTTTTTCATTTGACTTTCGGCCTGTAATATTCCTGAATACTGAAGAAAATTAGAATGCATTAGAAAACAGCATTTTCCAGTTTCTTACTGTTGTAAGCCTAGCTTGAAAAATAACAAATTGAGAGAGTTCTTTGATTTCCTGTATATTTTTAAAAGCAGTTTTAATTCTATGTGTAGTTACCGTAATTTGGACAAGATTTCCTTGAGTGCCTGCTGGTTAGGGCAAAAGGTTTGTAGGCATGGTGTGTGCTTGGATAAAGCGATGGAGGTTGGCAGTAGTCTGCAGTGTGTGTGGGGCTCTAGTGGAGCTAAGAGTGCTTCTTGTCCATAGGAATGTATTTCTATTAGCAAAGAGATGCAAGATATCTAGGCACTGTCTATGTCTATCTGAATCCTTGTCGAGTGAGATAGCTCAACTTTTTTTTTTTTTCCAGGCTCACTCTTGCTTCCAGAGTGTGCTGTGAGTCTCCTTATTAAATAAAACAAGAAGATATGAGTTGTTTTTATGCTTACTTTTATGATTCAGGTGAACTATAAATCATAGTACAGACTGCAAGAGGAGTTAGGTCTTGAAGAACAGGTAAATGCTGGTTCTTTTTTATAGTTAATGCGGGATGTTGAATTGTGCGTCCCTGTCCCCAAAAGGGTGTTTTTCTGCACCCTCTGAGTTATTTTCTTTTTCGGTAAGAGATTTCCATAGCACTTTAAAAACTAATTTTTAATTTGAAGCCGAGTTCATGCCTAGTTAGGG